CCAAAATCTCAGTATAGTTCCTTCAAAGTCAAAGGGTTGGTTGAGTTATTGAGAACATCCGAAGAAATATCAAAAGGACCATCCTGCGACGTCATCGCCACAAAACGGGGAGAAAGAAACTACAAAGACCAAAATCTCAGTATAGTTCCTTCAAAGTCAAAGTTGCTGAGAACATCCGAAGGAATATTTCAACAGTTTCGTCCAAATCCAAATTCATACGATAGAGGAAAAGCAAAAACATACGTAGCAGATAATTAAATGTTTATTTTTGTACGTATTTTTTCACATTCTGTAACAATTGTTTATTCTCTCTTGACAAGTTTATGTAAGTAATTATGCATTCACTTACGAGTACCGATTTTGAACATTCTTGAACCCGCCCCTGTGCAAGCACTGTTGTTGCGTTAAATGATTTTGATTCATTATATAGGCGTCAATGTCACCAACATTTACCGGTGCTTGTACGGTAAGTACACCATCTCTTGACAACGAGGAAATAACGGAGTCAGGGTTGACTTCTTTTGGAAGGGTGAAGTCTCGGCGAAAAGACCTTACGACGTTGCTGTGGTCAGTGTGTTCTTCGTGATAAGCTGTCACTGTTAAGGTATCTTCTTCAATTATTACCCTAACCTGTATAAAAAAAATAACATGTTATACAAAATGCCATTTATTAAATTGTAAAGAACAATGGGAAAATCATATTAAAAGAACTCAATAGCGTCTTCAAATGTCTTTCTTTTTCTAGCACGTTCCTTCATCTTCTTGATTTCCAATTTTTTTTTTCTGTTTTAATTTTCCTTATTCATTTTCAGCAGGAAGCAAGTAGTAATATAAAATTGTGATAATCAACAATATTAACTAAACATTTATATGAAAAAACGTATAAAATTCTTGCTTTTCAAAGAAGATATGGCAGTTGATTCCGACTTCGATGGAAGCTTTTCTGAATTCGGTGGCATAAAATCCACCAAATCCAAGGTCACGGGATTCAGAAAATATATGTATTTTTGATATTACTCGTTAAACGACAATATTTGTATTACTAATTAATTGTTATTATATTTTAGTTGTTACAACACATAATATAAAAAATATTATATACCACTATAAAATTTAGTTTTTGAAATATTGTATACACCGAATTCAAAAATCAACCTGGATCAAAACCACCGAATAACGTATTTACCCGCAAAACGTCCTAAAATCGGCAACAAATCATCCACATGTTGTTTCCAGCCACAGGGGCGTGATGGACGAATAATAATATATTATACGGTTTAAATTTTGAGAAATATGACACTTTGTGTTAGATTCTGGATTCGAGACACGCCACCGTTGTGAGGTTTTAGGCATTCCGGATTTTTTTTTCCATTAGGTCTGAAAGGTTTATTGGGAAGATTTTGTGCTCTCCAGTTAGCTTTCGACTTTTATTATACACTCTTTTTTTGTACATTTTTGTTTTGATAAATAAGTGGAGTTTAATGCATGGACACAGAACATTGCGCCTTTGGAAAAATGCCCAGTAAGTAAAGTAATCTGCCTCTACTTGAAAGATGGTAGGCCAAATCATTAGACTACCACAGCTTTTTTTTAAATACTTTCTATGTTTGTAAGATTATTTTTCGATCACTTTTAGGACAAACATTGTCCAATATAGAACACAGGCCTTTTAAAAAGTAACCATGCTTGGCAGGTAGGTCAGTGAAGCTGCAAAATAGGAGACTGCTGTCCATCTTGTGTTTATCCTATAATACTTTTTTAAGTAAACCCTCGGGAGAAATGACAAGCAGCTGAAAATTGATATACTAAAATAAAACTAGAATCTTGCCTATTTAAATAAATCCAAAAACAATTCAATGTCACTAACCTCTGACGGATCGAACTGGCTTACATCAAACCGCAGATTAAGCATCCTCTCTTCTCCATCACCTTGGATGAGGGGCGAGGCAATGGTCTCCCAAGCTCTGTCCTCATAGTGTGACTTCATCGACATAGGATGTGCGGTGGTTGTCAGGGTTGGTGATTCGTGATGCATTTTCTTTAGCTCCGAACTGCATACGTTTGTTTGGTTAAATTGCAACTTCATTTACAAGATGCCAAGAGATAGGATGAATTTGTAGATATTATACAAACTTTTAAGGAAGGTGTGTGCCAGTGGCGAGGCGTCCATATTATACATAACTCGATTCCCATCGGCTTGCCTAAAATTTTCCACGTATCATCAATTATTATAAATATTTTAAATCAATTTACTACATTTTGTGCACAATTTTACATGTAGAATAATTAACGAGTGAAATAAAGTGCACTGATATCTTGTGCTGTGTTTATTTGTCGCCAAGGCGCCATTTGTTAAGGCAAGTCTTTTTTGTTTTTCTCGGACTTTTATAAACAAACTATTATAAACAATTTCCACGCCTCGCCACTGGTGTGTACTCACATTAGTTATTGGGAGGACCTAGTGTCTACATGCGAAAATAAATGTGCTTTGGCATGCATTTTGAAGAGATTGAATAGACATTTTAATTAAATTAACCAGTACACATGCACTAAATTTGTTTATTTATAAAGATCTAAACGGATCACATACACTGAAGGCTTAAATAGCAGGAGTAGGCTAAGTTAAACGAAAGAAACTGTCGAGGTAGCTGTCCTTGGGTGGGAGACCGTCCACATTTCCTTGTGGCTATCATTTTACGGAAAGAAGTGGTTACAAAACAATATCGCCGCCTTACTTTCTCAAACTCGTATCTTATTATAAGTATACTCGTATCTTTATTTCTTATAGGGGGTCGATTCAGAACCTTACGATAACTGAGTTGTCGCCCGATTCGATTTGATATCGTGCGATTTCTTTTAATTTTTATTCACAACACCCGATTCGGACGTCAAACTGTCGTATTCGAAACCGGACCGAAATGACGTCACTTCCGTACTATTACTCGAGCTTCTTCACAGGCAAAGGCTCCAAACGTTATTCAGAACACAGTTATCGAATGAAAGTTATCGAACGTTCTATTGTTTACAAAGCAAGAATGTAACATGGAAATCTCTTATTATTTTAAATGAAGTCTAGATTTTGTTCAGTTTAATTAATTTGTTTTAATGCAAGACTAATGAATTCCTATATTGTACGCCATTAAAGTCTTAAAAATGTATTTAAAAGAATTTTCTGTTTTCTTATAATCTATTTCACCGGCTAACACACTCTGTAAACGCTGTTGTATAACGATATCGTATCCGACTCCGAATCGAATGTTTACGAGTAACTCGAATGTTCTGAATAGCTCAGAAAGCGCCCTTCGATTATTAAGAAAAAACAAAATGTTTTATATACATTTTTAAGACTTTAAAGGTCTAAAATATAGGAATGCATCAGTCTTGCATTATATCTTGCATAAATTAATAAAATTGGCCAAAATCCTGACTTTGAAATAATATTTGATTTCCATATTACATTGTTGCTTTATAAACAACAGGACGTTCGGAAAGTTTCATTCGATAACTGTGTTCTGTATAACGTTTGTAGCCGTTGCCGGTCGAAAAGCTAGAGTAATCAATCGTACGGGTGTGACGTTATTTCGGTTCGGTTTTTAATACGACAGTTTGACGTTCGGTTCGGGTGTTGTGAATAAAAATGTAAAGAAATTGTACGATTTCAAATTGAATCGGTCGAGAACTGAGTTATCGTAAGGTTTTGAATCGACTCCCTTGGAATAAACCTCACCTTAACTTGTCCATCTCTGCTTCTATCCTTTTCATTTCAGCAGTGAATTTTTCTCGCAAGAAAGAGAAGCTATCATCAAATGTAGACATGTCTGTTCTTTGTATCTTGATTACCTTGGAATTGTCTATTGGGCTCGACCCTCTCGACGGCGATTTGTTCAATGTATTGTCCTCATTAGACATTATGACGTCATGGCTTCCCACATTGAACATTTCTGAAAGAACACGGCGAATTTGGAATTTCTGGACTACTCAATGAAATATGGTGCAAAGCGCTGGTTTGGTTAAACTGTTATGAATTGTTTATTTTTGGTTTTGTGACAAGCTTTCCGAACTATGACGTAAGGTGCTGCCATTCTCTTGTCAAACGTAAGTTCTACGAAAAAGAATGATTTGTTTCTGTCCAAACTTTATCTTTTTGAGAGGCGGTAGATCAAACCATTAGGCTGCCCGGTATACATTTGACTTACTAAATAAAGTGTTATTTACATCCTGGCCATGCTCAACTTTCCCCCATTCTTTCATGATTACATACATACATATCATCACGCATATGAACCTCCACTTGCTACGCTTCTAACAAACCTTCTTCGCCTCCTCCACTCCTATCAATCACGTCACACATGCCCGTTTGTTCTCGGTACTATTAATCCGGCCTTTCTTAACGACATTCTCAATCTGATTGAGATATGTTCGCCGAGGTAGACCTCGGCTCACAACAACTCAACACAACAACTCTAATGTATGGTAGTGATTGTTAGGCATAGATATACGCTACCATACATTAGGGTTGGGACTAGCGCATGATTAGCAATTAATAAACGATTATTTGTGTATTGATAAGTAATAAATTATTATTCTTCTTCTTAGCGTGTCGACTCTAAAGTTTATATTTGTGAGAACCAGTACTTAGCGGCTGAGACAGCATTATCAGTGGCGTTGTACAGGTCCTCGCGGTACACACTGGACACGACAGAAGATGCGCCATGATCTGGGGAGAGACATCACATATGCCATGCGCTCCCCGAGTTATAACCCCACCTGTGCCTGCTCTCCTTGCTTCGGCAGACTTAGGTCCGCAACATATTCAGAGACTTCCAAGGTTGCCAAAGGTATATCATGCCCAGGAGGGAGGTGCTGGGGTATCTCACCTTCCAGATACTTATTAGGACTCGGTTAGTTTCCCCGTTCAGATGGATATAGGCATGAAACAGTGACAAAACAGCGGCAGCACGTGTTGTCAAAATAATTAATGTTATAAAAGATTACGTTATAACAAAAATTACAATTGTTTTTCTCCATTTTGTGACAGCCATTGCATATTCTACGTACGACAGTGCATCTACATAAATGGACGGTGGTATTTTTTTTATAATATCAAGTGACGGGACGAACAAGTCGTGCGCCTGATGGTAAGCTACACGCCTGTCCATAACAGTTGCAGTGCCACTCAGAGCTTTTAACGTAAAAATCTGAGGGGCGCTGCCATTGCGCCTGTCACCCTAAAATGTAAGTTCATAAGTCTCTTAAGCCTGTAATTTCACCAGCACCCTTACCCTTAATGCTATTGGCAAATATAGGTAAAGTGGCAGCACGAACCTGGACGAACTCTTTCACAAGGAGCTAGAGCTCCTAGCAGTAGACTGCTACTAGCATCGTATCGCCAAACATCAAAGACGTTGCGCTACTGTACAGAAGATATTGTAATACTGTGTTATTCGAAATGCAATCCAGTGCATACTGAAGATCGATTTTGACGTAGTGCCTTCAATACTTGCTACCTCTGTTTTGTTACTGTTTTATGCCTATAAAATATAATGGACTGAAGACTTGGCTGTATGGTGTTCAACCATTGCCTTTTTCTGAACGGAAATAATTTAAAAAACAACAATATTTCTGATTCTGTGATAAATTTAATAAATTATCTTAACTCACTACGTTCAATGGTCCCAAAAGGGTCATGAACGCCCTAAACAATCAACACGTCATAACATCTCGACGGCACCGTAAAACTTATTAACCTTTTCTCAAATCGAAATAATCACAAATTAATAGGATACTCTGCAATATTGTAGAGTAGTAGAGATTATGTAGTCTTGCGACGAAATAGTCGCATCGACAAAATAGTCGATAGAGGTGCCGTTGTACTATGCAAGTATAAAACAAGTCGTACGAACGTAGGTGTTATTTAAAACCGTAATTTGTTGTTGACTGTACCGTAAGTGAAGCAAACCCTACAGGCAGCAAGGCAGTAGGCGACAGAGCAGCAGACACTACGAAGTCATATTGTATCTATAATAGTATTATTAACCTTTTAAATCTTTCATCTAAAAATTCTAAAATACAATTATTTTGTTGTTCTATAACTGTTTTTCAGCGATGGTCTTCAGTATTTACATGAACAAATTACTGTTATAGAGTTAAGTATATTTTTTCGATATACAATGAACTAAACACAAAATTTGAAATAAAGTTAGTTATTAAGTTCTTAGGTTTTTGCGACTGTTACAAAAAGTGTTGAAAACGAAAATAAATGTTTTCTTCGTCTTCTTCCAAATAAACTTTTTGGGTTCTTTACAGGTCCATGGTCACGGTAGTCTGCAACATGTCATGGATAAACCTACACATTCAATTAAGTTTGGTAAGTCCCATGTCCTTGTCTCCCAGGTTTCTGCGAGAGGCCATTGAAAAAAAAAAATACTTATTTCTATTGCTTCTAGCGCTAAATCAACTTGTAACAAGGTTCTCATTTTTTTATAATTTAGTCGAATAATAATCGAGCATTATTCGCCCGTCTGGGAAACCCCAGTAAGATAGTCTTCTCGACTCAGTCGAGCGACGTGTAGGGTGAAAACGCGCCCCCTGAGATGTGGCATTTAGGGGGAACTGGGGAGTTGAGGTGCTGAGAGGGGGCGGACAGATTGACAATGCCCCCTGCTGCCATGGCGACCATGGTCTAAACACCTAGCCCTATTAATCTCGAAGTGAGGGCGCGACGGATCGGTAGGGTGGCCTCTTTGTAGATTTAGTAGGGTGGTCACATAATTCCACAGGCCTATGTTGTTAGATTTGTTGACATATGGTAATGATGAATTAATAAGCCGTGATTTGTCGTTATTCCGCATTTGGAGTATATACTCATAGTTTAACTATTATTACAAAATGTTTTAATACCTACGTGACAACCTTATTTAAGCATAATTTAGATTTTTTTAATGATAGGTATATTCGGGACAACTATTCTTTATACGTTGTTATGCGGGAAGAAATCTTCATTCATTTACTACATTACTACGTTTACTCACTTATACCCAAAAATCTATGCTTATACCTAATGTTGATGATAATTTTTTACACCATGGCAACCCTAAAGGGCGAGGGCGCGAACCGTGGCCTGGCGCCGCCAAATTGGCGGGAAACTTTCCCGTTTGACAGATCATTTTTTATTTCGTTCGGAAATTCGGCATCCATTGTTCCGCTGATTACCAGGTGGCCAGGAAGTGAACTGCACCCTCTTTTGCGAAGTGAATTGATTAATCCCACTATCTGTGTCGATAATATTGTATTTTTATGCTTTGTCGATTTGTACTTCTATAAATCTACTTAAGAAATTTTCTTCTCTGATTTATTAGTCTTTAGGCAGTATAGCTCATGCCATAGACATAAATGAGTACTTCATAAAGATTATCACAGCTTGGCATTATGCAACAAAAAGGCCCGTTAGCGGAAGCTAAATAAAAAGTTAATAATGGAGGCATCAAGCAATAATTAATCACTACATTAAAATCAACGCTTGCAGTAATTTGTTCTCGTAAAAAGTTTACCTAATTAACTGTAATGTCTCAAGTCTATCCCGCTGCCGATTTGATAACCCAGTGATGGTGTTGGTGATAATGAGGCATATTTTTATGCGATACTCTGATATAACTAACATAACATGTGTGATATTGTAATGATTATGCCTATTAAGTCTTTTCAGTTCATATTCATATCTGTTTATCGCTTGCCACATGGTTTCACAAAGATCTCATGAAAATATATATTACAGTGATACAGTGATACACTGCAAGGACGCCGCAAAAGCAGAAGAGCACTACAAATTATTAATAATTATTCCTATTATTCCTATTTTCTTATAAAAAAAACGCAAAATGAAATAACATTTATTAATTTTTTTTTTTTTTAAATAACGCACACACTCAACATAGCCCCGCACTAGGGAAACCCTGTGTCGCGGGTGCCATGGACACACACATAGACAACCACAAATTACACCCAAACTCACGAGAGAAATAATTGTAGGCCATACTACTATTTCTCCCGGCCCGGGAATCGAACCTGGGACCTCTGCGTGGCAGTCCGTTGGTAACCGTTTGGCCACGGAGGCAGTTATAATTAACTAAAAGCTAATTTATTTAAGCACTAAGAACACGGCACTTAACTTTTATTCAATATTTCGTGTAACTTATAAAATGCGTTATTGATAGGGTACTTTTTTAGATGGACAAATAAATGTCGATAATTTGTCTTGGTTTTTTTTTATTTCATTTGGTTTGGTATTATTATAAATTGAATTGCCATTGAGTGTGGGGCGGATCTGTACAGACTGAGAGTAGTTGCGGGAAATGTTTAATTTATGTAAGTTTCTATTGTTTTGTTTTACTGTTGAAATTCGGGAATATAGGTGTAAATTTACAGCATTCAAGAATGTATATACAAGTCAATGTTAATGTTTTATGTTTATTGAACGTTCTGTTCTGTTTTTTTTTTTATTAAAAAATTTGCTCATTTGACCTCCATCTCACCTAATCGAAAATGACAATGAGATCGACGATGGAGCATGCACATCGAAATAATGCCTATTCACTCTCGTCTTGAAAAGGCCCGAGTTATAACGTTCAGGGAGTAAGTCTGCAGGCAGAGAATACCACGCCATAGCCGTTCGCCATATAAATGTGGAAGCGCTTCGTGCGACTCCTTGGAATATCCACAACACAGCGGTGGTTCTGTTTTTAATTACATTGCTGGTCGCAAGCAAATTCATCTCATAATATTTTTGGAACGAACTTATCACTCATCTAGTTATTTACTTTTTCAAATATGGAATACCCTGTACTCACACTAGTTTAGTTGTACAGTTATGTTGACACCACTTCTGGTATTTTTTTCCCATTTGTTAAAGTCAAAGAATTATTTTTTCTACTAAAATTTACACTTGAAAACGTCATTTTTTAAGCTACTGCTCGTTCACTGTGCTGACTTCCCTG